GGTTATAGCTATAGAAAATGACTGCACTTCTTTGTAGAAAATCACTCTAATTATTCTGCACAAATAAGATCTTATTCTTCTGTTTATTCACTGCTACTCTTGAGAGTACATCTGCCATTACCTACACTTTACTTAGAACATAGATTATACACTAGTCGTATTTCATTAGTGTAAGTGTGAATCTTTGCATGCATTGAAACATTTTTGAGATTTCTTTTAATCACAATAGTGTATTCAAAGGCTTGTGATCCATCTCAACTTGGAATTTCAGTCACACGAGGTAATCTGCAAAACTTTCACATCCCCAAATAATTGCTTATGCTTCCTTTTCTTTAGTTGTGTACCTCTTTTAGTATCCATCAAAGTTCCCAGTTTGCATTTGACTAAGGACTGCTCCTAGTCTGTGAACAAAGCATCTGCGATTAACATCATGAATATTGTAATGTGCTAAAAATTCATTAGAAAGTAATTTCCCTTTAATTTTTTCAAAAAATCTACAATGATTCCATTGGAAATGTTTGTCAAAATCACCTTCAGTTTTCATTTAAAGCACTGTATCTAATATCATCTTCAACAGATTGCAATGAATACATACATTTCAACTCAACAAAGACATTCTGATTCCTTAGTATATTTAATGTTTGTATTAATGAATTAATGAATGTATTAATGAATGGTTGTAATAATAAATGTAATGGCATTTTGTTCTCTGTGACTTCATTGTGATACGTCAGTGAAGAAAAAAACCGAAAGAACTGCGGATACTGTAAATCAGAAACAAAAACAGAAGTTGCTGAAAAAGCTCTGCAGATCTGGCAGCATTCATGAAGAGAAATCAGAGTTAACATTTCAGGTCCGGTGACCCTTCCTCAGAACAATCAATCGCCCAATGCTTATCTGCTTTAAGTGATATCGTTAGTGATATTTCTGACTCTTCACTCCTAGAAAACCAGATTCTGTTTCTTGCAACATTTAGAAATCATACTGGTCACTGCTGCTCACTAAATTATGGTAGGGGCCCACCATTGTCACCAGACCATTGTTCACCATGTGTTTGGTTACTTCAAGCCCAAAGTGGATTAGAGCGAATGAGGGGAGGCATCTTTCTTAGAAGAATCTTGTTGAGTAAACAATTGAAGTTTATTGAATCACGGCAATTATTTACAGATTACATGAATATAATTTATATTAGTACAGAAACTGTTCGGAGCACACTAAATTCAGATTTGTCTCCTACAGCCTTCTTTCCTCAGCCCAAATCCTCAATACATAATTATAGTGGGTGGTGCTTACTACACTTAAGTATTAACCCTATTAAACCCTTGCACAGATGCTGATCTGACAGGAACATGATTGCAATATTCTTATGGAACTATTTTAAGGTATGTCTCAAACATGGTGATTATGGAGACATCCACCAGCTGCTGAAGAGATTCAGGAAGGTTTGTTAATGTTCCACTTGGTCACCTCCCTGCCATTTGCTGTGTCTTAGTCAAACTCAGTGATCCCTGCAATGACCTGTTTTTGACTGCACTGTATAATTCTCCAGGTGGACTGAATGATGCATGGTATCCTGAGTGCAGGCTCCTTCAGAGGCATTGGCACTTCAGTGTAGATCTTGGGGACTTCCTATAGAAATATAGAGCATATGTTAGAATGCTGGCTGTATGCCAGATTTTGTTCTAGTATTCACATAGCATATGTTTTGGTGGGTTGAATTTCCTTGGGTTTTTTTACACATTTGTTGTAACTGGTGAAATTAGCAACTCAGATCAGTAGACACGCTCAGCCCTGCCACCTCAACCATGAAAATTGAATGTATGTCTGTTTTGCTGCAAGTAGGAATAAATAAATAAAATGGGCAGTCCAATGTTTAGACAGATCTTCCAAATTCTCTCAGTTCCAACAATCCTGATTTTCCCCTTTTCAAAAGGATGCAAACAGTTCATGTTTTAGGAATTTCTTGGCATGTGACCTTTTCTAGTTAGGTGCCATCTTGGTCTGCAAGGAGAAATATAACAAAAATGTATTTGACCTGACAGAAGCACAGGGACAGTGATACCAAAGGATCATTCTACACCATCCCCCCTACCCCTACCCCCAATGTTTTGGTGAGCAGATGAAAATATTTGATACAGTGAGGGCTGATTATCATAATTGTTGTCTTAAAGATTCATCCTTAAAGATGAAAAGTTGGTAAGAATTTTGATTGTAAGCTTTGACCACAATAAATGCTCTACTGTACTTTAACTACGGGTTTAAGTAAACGGGAACATGGAGAACTGTCTGGAAGCATTGCATACGGACAACAATCAGCTGCAGTTAGAAGCAAGTCAGAGTAGGTTGACTCAACTGGTAATTGGGATGGGGTGGTGTGGGTGAATGATGAGTTATCTTTTGAGGAAAGGTTTGATAGGCTAGGCCTGTATCCATTGGTGTTATATAGGATAAGAAGTGATTTTATTGAAACATATCAGATCCTGACAGGATTTGACAGGGTGGATACTGAATGGCTGTTTCCACTTATGGGAGGGTCCAGGGGATGTAGCTTAAAAATAAGGGGTCTCCCATGTAAGATGGAAACAATTTTCATTCTCCCAGAGGGTCACAAATCTTGGAACTGTCTTCCAAAGAGGAGATGGTGCTATTGGATATTTCTAAGGCAGAGGTAGCTATATTCTTGACCAACAAGGGAGTCAGGAGTTATTGGAGGTAAGTAGGAATGTGCAGTTGAGACCACAAATAGATCAGCCGTGGGGGCTCAATGTTCTTCTCCTGTATTTGTGTGTTCTAGTACATTACAGATTGTGAGGAAACATTTTGTGGTATGTGTGTCATCCCCATCCAGTTCATAAATGGTTAGAACACATCAGTAAGTCATTCGCCCTTTTATGTCCTTGCTAGTGCTCTGGAGGAACAAATGCTATTAGCCTGCTGCATCCCAGTAGTCCTGCATATTTTTCCTTTTCAGATGATAATTCAATTGTAATTTGAAATTCTTGATTGAACTTGCCTCCACCACTTTCTCAGGCAGTGAATTCTAGATCGTAACTACTTATTGCATAGAACGTTTTTCTTTCACTATTTCTTTTGCAATTACAGTAAATCTGTGCCGAAAACAAAAAAATGCTGGAAATCACAGAGGGTCAGGCAGCATTAATGGAGAGAGAGCAAGCTAATGTTTTGAGTCTAGAACACTCTTCATCAGAGCATTTGCAGTAATTTACTCGTAGTAAATCTGTGCCCTCTGGTTCCCAATCCTTTCATTGATGGGAACCATTTCTCCTTACCTACCAGGTCTAGACCCCTCATAATGTTGCATACCTCGATCAAATCTCAACCCCTCTTCTCCAATCTTTTCCTATCTACATTACTGTAATAAAGTTTATAGTCACATCCTAAAACATTTTCTATTTTGCATATTTTTTAGTGTTCTTTGCATTTCATTATTTCTAAGGAACCTAATTGGCTGTGAAGCAGTTTGCCACATACTGAAATTTCAAAAGAATACAAATTCTTTTCAAAGAAATCCATGAAAGTAAGCACGCTAATTAATTTACCCACATGCTCCTGGAACCATGGTAAAATAAGATTCACCGTATATAAATGAATAAGAAGATGAAAAAAAAATTCTCTAGTTTGAGAAATACAACAGTGTAAAGACATTTGACAGCTGTGACATAACTGCTATTACTGCTCTGTGGAAAAAGAGATTAATATGCTGACTGTTCTGACCTATGCATCAGTCATGTGTGTGGTACATTTGCGGGCAATATATCGCCCGATACTGAAAATGGCCCGAACCCGACCTAGGAATTAGAAGAAAAAGTTTTGAGAGGGTGTGATATCCTTTGCTGCCACTGTCATTGCAATCTTTTTGGTGTAGATACCCTGCTCATGTCCTTGCAGTTGATGGCACAAGTGTTCCAATAGCTCTGCTATCTAATATCTGCAGTTCCCTATATAATTTCCAGCTATGTGTGCCAGGCTCTGCAGGTTGATATGTGGCACACTGATAAATATAAACAATCTAAGTCTGGCTGCTGATCATGTCCCAGCACCATTTTACTCATCAAATAATAGTAAGTCAAATATCGTAACTTTGTCTGTCATGCAAATATTTGGTTAAATGTGATTCACTAAAGTTCTGTGAAAGTATATCTGTTATAACCATATTTTCTATGTTCTGTTTTCTCACCTCACCTGTTATGCCAAAGGAAGTGTTTCACTAACTTTCAATAAATTAGCAGACAAATCAAATATTTTAAGTCCTTATAAACATTGTGCGATGACATATGCTTGTGCTGAGGCCTGATATGCGGCCAGTCACAACAATGTCACCGTCAAAATATCGCAGTTCTAAGGGAGATGGACTGGAGAACGTTCCAGAGTAAGGAAAAAGTCCATAAAGGAATTTAAATACAAAGATAAAAATTTACATTGTAGGCATTGGAAATCCAGGGGCAAAATATGGCTAATCAAGGACAGGAATAGTTAATGAATTGAACTAATATGCCAAGTAATAAATTGGATTCAGAATGCCATTTCACATATCTTTAGTCCAAACAGCTTAATGGTAAGGCAGAGTGGTGACAGCAAAGGATAGGGAAGGAAGCTAATCCTGCCCTCCAAATCCCTCTACTTGGTTAGGCATACTGTCCATGGATCTGTGGGCTGAGAATCAGCCTGTTCAGTTCCATGAAGAACCACAGCAGAAACTCACAACCCTAAGGAGACACCATTCTTGAATTGAGGGACAGCCAACAATGACAACCAGCAGTGGAAAGAAACTTTCTTCCTACTAGCATGCACTGCATTTGAACATTAGTATCACATGTGAGAAGCAGACACCAAATGGCTTCACCAAATTGATTATTGTTTTTTAACAATGTTTCGGTTGACAATTGTATGATGACAATACTTTCTATTATGGATGGATGCAACTAAAGAAGGCTAATCTTGCAAATAGTAGAATTTACTTCTGGTACTTATCTTTCTAGGTCAAACTTGCGTTAGCACTCATTGATAATACGAATCAAACTGAAGAGTATCAGCAACTGCAACAAACTTGCAAAAGTGCAAAAAACCAGCTTGCAGATATTTATGATGACAGACAGAAGACAGAAATACGCATTAAAGATTATTTACAGGTAATTTGAACAACATATGATGAAAAGAAAAGTTAAGAAGCATACTGAGTTATTATTCTATGGAGTACAGGAAAATGTTTTATCACCCATTAAGTTTCTGCTTAGCTGAGCTAAGAAGAAATAAATATTAAAACCAAAATCTTCTTATCTATGTCATAATCAATGGATGATGTTGAATGGTGACATCAGGTCGAATGGGTTTGGAATGACAGGGAGGTGGAGAGTGAATTGTCGATGGCTTCTGGTGGTGGCTTGGGTTTCTGGGTGTTGGAGTGTTTGGATGGTGTTGTCAGGTTTTGGAGGGGATGTGAGGGGAGGTGAGGAAGACACAGCAGGTGTTGGTGGGTAGAGTATTGTGCATGGAGGATCTGGTGGAGTTAGTGTGAGTGATTGGGAAGACCATCTTAAGTTTGGCGTATCAATGATATTGTTAGCCAGGAGTTAAAGCAGGTTTTAATCTGTTTAACCATTCCTGGGTAACTATTCAAGCAAGTCACTCAGAACCTTCCAAAGTCTCTAACTCTAAACTCACTGTTGTAGAATACAACTAACTCGGAGTCACTGTGACAGAATTTCCAATGGGTTCAAATTCACATCTTTTCTGGCTATCCAAAGTCTGGGAAATCTAGGTCAAAATCTGTGCAATGTTTGTTATGTTGTTACATTTCCTGTAAATAAACAGGAACTGACTGATATATGAATTTACATCCAGGGTGCCACATTTTACTACTGCACTGCAATTATGTATCAAATGACAATATATCAAACTACCAGCCATATGACAAGTTAAAATACATAATCTCCAGCATTTTTGACGTAAAGTGTGATTGTTTCTTCTCATGTGAGAAGCATAACATGGTGGTAGTGGGTGTAGTTGAGTAAAATACCCAACATTTTCTGTAGATGTAATGCTTCTTCTTAATTTACTTGTGGGACATGGGCATCGATGGCTGGCCAGTATTTATTGCCCATCCCTAGTGGCCCTTGAGAAGGTGGTGGCAAGCTGCCTTCTTAAACCACTACAGTCCATATGCTGACAGTTGACCCACAATTCCCTTAGGGAAGGAATTCCAGGATTCTGACACAGCCACAGAGAAGGAATGATATATTTCCAAGTCAAGATGGTGAGTTGCCTGGAGGGGTGCTTCCAGGTAGTGGTGTTCCCATGCTTCTGCTGCCATTGTCCTTCTGGATGGAAGTGGTCGTGGGTTTGGAAGGTGCTGTCTAAGCATCTTTGCTGAATTAGATTGAAAATTTAAGTCCAATTAATGCCAGAGAAAGAGACAAAAAAATCAGCAAACTATGCAAAAATGAAATGGCCACCGTAGCAATAAATGCACAGCCCCTACACGATGAATTGGGAGACTGATGACTTCATAGAGACACAAGAGAAGTTTAAGCAAAAGTGTGGACTGACATTCAGTAGTTTCAATGTAACTGACCACAGTGAAGGGGAAAGGATAAGCTGCTACATCCTTTTTACGGCAGAAGAAATAGTTAAATTTGTTTAATAGCTGAAAGCTAAGTGAAGATGACAGCAAAGACCCAGATGAAATTCTTGAAAAACTTAGCATTTATCTCCCAGTAAAAATCAAATCGTTGGATCTAATGCACATTAATTTTAAGGCCTGATGATAATTTCCTAACAAGTTTGAAAAATGCACCAGAAAAAGTAAATTCAAGGACACCAAGAGGCAAAGAGTTTAAGATCAGGGAGGTTATGCTGGAACTGTCTAAAACGCTGATTAGGCCACAGCTGCACTATTGTGTGCTGGTCTGGAATCCATATTAGAGGAGGAATGTGACAGCACTGGAGGTGGCACAGAGGGCACAGATTTACCAGGATGTTGCCTTGGCTGGAGATTTTCAATTATGAAGAGAGATTGGACAGACTGGAATTCTTTTCCCTAGAGGAGAGGAGACTGAAGGGGGACATGATTAATCATCATCATAGAATGATACAATCCCTACAGTGTAGAAACAGGTCATTTGGCCCAACAAGTCCACACTGACCCTCCGAAGAGCATCCCACCCAGACCCATCTCCCTGCCCGTTCCTTGTAATTCCCATGGCTAACTTATACATCCCTGGACACTATAGCATGGCCAGTCCACCTGACCTGCACATCTTTGGACTGTAGGAGGAAACCAGAGCAGACAAGGCAAGAATATGCAAACTCCACACAGAGAGTTGCCCAAGAGTGGAATCAAACCTGGATCCCTGGCACTGTGAGGCAGCCACTGAGCCACCGTGCCACCCTAGCCACTGTGCCGCCCTTTCAGATAAGGAGATAGATTAAGATATATAAAATTATGAAGGGCTTAGATATAGCAGACAGAAAGAACCTTTTCCTCTTAATGGAGGGAATTATGACCAGGGGCATAGATTTAAGGTAAGGGTCAGAAAATTTAGAAGAGATGTGAGGAAAAACTTCTTCACCCAGAGGGTGCTAGAAATCTGAACTCTCTGTCTGTGAGGCAGAAATCCTCATAACATTTCAGAAGTATTTAGATGTGCACTAATGATGCCAAGGCATACAATACTATGGGGCACGTGCTGGAAAATGGTATCAGAATAGTTAGATGATTGTTTTTGACTAGGGCACAGTTATGATGGGCCAAAACGGTTTTTTTCTCTGTGCTGTAAGATCTCTATGATTATAATTCTTTAAGACAGAGAAAAGGCTGCTACATCAACCCACTGTGCACCCTGACACAGAAAAAGATTTCATTGAAAAGGACAAGCTCACAATATCACAGGCTATATACCTTGCCAGAACACGTGAGACCACAAACATACAGATGAGAAAACTGACTACTCAAAAAAACAGCTTTCAGTTAAATCAGGAGAAAGGCAGCAGAGTTAATGCTGCAACAGCAACAATACACACTAGACAAAGAAAAGAATACGAATGAGCTGGTAGGAGGAGTTGTTGGGCCTGAAGTGGGGTTGAGGACAGGGTGTAGTGGGGTGGGTGGTTGGTTCAGGTTAGGAGAATGTTATGTCTGGTGAGGGTGGCAGGGGGAGGAGGTGGTGGGGGTTGAAATGTTGGCATGGTGTCTGTTACAGGGGTCGAAGTGTTTTGTGTCCAACTGATGAATGAGACTATTCCGTTTAGGGGTGGTCAGGCCAGTAGTGGGGGGTGGTCGGTTCAGGTTGGGTGGTTGTTAGGTCAGGCTGGTCTGATTGGGGGGATGAGGAGTATCAGTCGGACTGATTAGAAAGGAGTGGTATCTGATAGGATAGAGGTGTGCTGGTTCTGAAGGTGTTATGGAGGTGGAGACAAGCTGGCAATATAAAGGATATTGGATGAAGGCTGGATGTCAGTTTGGCAGTGTTGGATTGGGGGAGGTTTTGGAAATGTGTCAGGTTAAGGGATGATGATCAGGACTTGACGTGTTGTAGATTAGGCATAGTGAGTTGGGTTTAGATAAACAGTTATTCCAGATTTTAATCTTCTGATATTTCCCGGGTAACTATTAAACTTAAGTGAGTTGGAGCCCTCTGACTTTTCCAATTTTAGTAGACTCCTTTGGAGGCTTCCAGACACAAGGGAATTGCCCATCAGAAATTTCATCTTCTCAAGCAATTCCCATGAAGTCATTTCATCGGAGGATTCTGCATGGTCCCCATGAACAAATCCATCTACACTACTTTAATTATACTTTGGCCATTGGAATATATGGGCTAATGGTTCTAGCAGTGCTGTTTTTGAGAGTGAATAGTTGTGGTGGTCTACAAGGTGTTGAAGCAAAGTTTCTGGTAGAACGTAGTGATGTTCCCATGCAATGAGTTCACTCCCTGCAGTAATATTGGCTGCAAACACAGCCAGTTTATTTTCTCTCCCTCTGACTTCTACTTTCCTCACTTTTCTTTCTGTTGTTTTTTGCTGGTGTCATTTCAGCAAAAAAAACAATAGAACTGACTGTAATCTGAAATCTGCTTTCTTTGTAAACTATCCCATTCTCATTGCCAGTAATATATATTGGGTCCAGATTCTGTTTCATTAATGAGCTGACTTTGACAGCAGGAAATTCTTCTGATGCAGTTATCGTAATGTTTTAAAAATGCGTAGCAACTGAACCCAATATTTTGGAAATTTAATTGTTTTGTTTAGACAGTATTTTAATGAGAGAGATAAAGATCAGTTATGTCAGCAGACCGATGGATTAGAATGTTATACTTTACCTGTTATATTGCCACTTGCAGTTTTAATGGGTTTTGCGTCTTTTCCACAGAATAAATAATGTCAGACTTTTGAAATAGCAAATGTTTAAGTAGTGGATTTTATATTTCATTTTCTAACCATTGGAAATATAATACCGCAGGGCCAAGAAAATGTACCTCTGGCCTCAGCCACTAACATTGACAGCAAATGTCTGAATGCACTGAACCAGTGAAACATAAAAACCAAAACCAAAAAATTCTGATCCTATTACATTTACATTTATTACATTAAATTGTTTTGCTTTGCTAATATTGCTTTTTGTCACTTTCAAAATCAAATGTGCCTTTCTTTATTATAAGCAAAAAGCAATCATATTACTGTAAAATACATAAGCTGCCTTGTATTGCATACTAATTTGAATAATCAGCTTTTGTCACCAGCTACATTGCTTGAAAAGCATATGAGAAATTTGACAAAATGTATTTTGGATGAATTTCTCAGGGTAAATGTTTGTACTAAAATACACATCGGTGAGCACTGCACTGACAGAAGAGCTGGTGGATGTGGCAGTGGTAATCGAAGGTGCTAAGCCAGCTGTCTCGCTCTGTTTGTTTGCTCACTGCTTTGGGCATTTTGCCAACCTCATTGCAAATAACTGCATTAGTCAAGTGTATCAGAATTATTACAACACGGCGTCCATCTCATTTATTGCTGTTTGTGCATTTTCTAAGTCTACAACAGAACGAAAGAATTTTTCAACTTGCTGACCTTTGTAGCTTCACTAAGCCCAGAAGTTCACTTTTTGTTTGGACAGATGTTGACATAATAACAA